CCTCTTGGAGGTCCACCCCGACTCCCTCGTCCATATCCACCCCCTCCACCACCACGACCATACCCACCACCATAACCTCGACCACCACCTCTGCCACCACCACCATAACCACCACCTCTACCCCCACCACCATAACCACCACCCCCGCCACCATAGCGACTGTTTCGTTTCGCGGCTTCTCTGGCTGGGTCTTTGGGATTCGCATATTCAATGTTTATTTCTTTACCATCAATTGACTAAGAAAAAACAAAAATTTCCAAATTTAATATATGCAGGATTTTCACAAATTTCAAGTGGAAACACCCAATCAATTATAATACAAAACTTGTTCACAAATTTCCTTCATGAAAATTTCAGTTTGCAAAGTGGAAACACCTCCCAATTCAATTATAATACGAAACTCGTGCTGAATTTCCTTCATGAAAAATGTCAGTTTTACAAAGTGGAAACAACTCAGGCTTGAATTCCAACTTGAGTTCCTGAATCTCAGAAGCACAATCTTACACTTACCCATGCCTGCAATGCATTCTTGGCAGCCTCAGCGTCGTTTGATTCGGCAAATGTCACATATCCAAACCCTCGAGAATTCCCAGATTCCTTGTCCATCACAATACAAGCTAAATAAAATTGTTTCATTTTGTAAACAAGGTCATATGTACGGGCATGCAATAAGAAAGGCGCAGGTCAATAAGGAATACAACTTCTTGAACAATACAAAGCAGACTGCCACTTTCTTATTAGGCGTAAAAAAAATACCTGTGGTTCCGGTTCCCGACCGACCCTATTATTTTTTTCAACGCGATTGACCGTGCGACCCTATTTTCTCCAGGTGGTTGCAGGCTGCTCATACAGCATGCCAAAATGGCATCTGTTGTCACACTAATTATTGAACCAAATTGCCGAAATTTGTCCATAGGAAATACGCATCTCTAGTTAATATTGATGTCGGGACTCTACAGCAAATCGCCCAGCAAAAAACCACCAAAACCATGAAGAAAAGAATTTTAAAAAAAATTATTTCCGACCTACCAACCCTAATTTTTTCACGATATGAAACCGGAACCACAGGGTTTTTTTTACACCATATTGTCATAACCTCACAGGCACAGATTGTATGGGCTTGGAATACATACATTTCATGAGTGAATGTTTTCATGGCAATATTCAAGGCAATGAACTGTCAGTACACTCATTCACATAGCCCCAAAACAAAACAACATACCCTTTCAATAAACATGTCGCAAAATCTCTTATTGGCCCGTGAGCCTAGGCATCACACATACTTTTTGATCTTGGAGCCTCGCTCTCATTAGTAAATTGTGCAAGGTGATTGGCTCACAATTCATGAGAGCGAGGCTCCCAGGCCAAATATCCGACTCGAATTGCTTTAATCTTGTTGCATCAGAGTAAGGTTCCCAGGCCATGGAAGTATTTGTGATGCAATTATATTACAGTCAATAAGGTTTTGAAAATCTCTCAGAATTGGCCACACAACACAGCTTGAACTAGATGCTGACAATTTGATTCTAGTCCAGGGTTTTCAGTTTTGTGTGAGGCTTTGGCTAATGGAGATGAAGCTATGGCGATAGATATTATTTCTACCGATAGAATTTACAAATTTGGGCGAGTAAACATAATAGAGACGTGACTAAACATAAAAGCTCTGGCGAATTTGGGTGGGGTTGAATGAAAAAGTCTGGCAAAATTCGCCGGCCTAAACTGAAAACCCTGCTAGTCAAGTTGTTGTCAACCTCGATGTATTCTCAACCGAACAAATTTGTGAGACGTCCATTACATCTCCGACTACAGGAGTGCACACAGGGTGTTTCTGACTTCTGAAAAACTAAATTTCTACCCTCCGTAAAGGCTTGTTTAGCCTTGTAATTTAGTATAGGTATAATTGAGTACATGGGCCATTCCAAAAATATCCACACACCCCCTATGGACGAGCTCAGTAAAATTGGAACCCCCAAGAAAAAAGATCAAAGTGCCGAGTCACACACCCTCAGAAATTGGTAAATTTTTGCCTTACACCTCAGAAAAAAACACTAAGATCAAAGGATGCTGATGCCCATAACCGTTCAGAACCCCATCAGAAATTCTCGTCCATATGGGGGGGGGG